AGCCATTTTAGAGATTATCCGGAAGAAACAGACAGATAGATAAGAATTTAAAAAGTTGGGTTTTTCTTATAAGTACGGTATGCAATTTCATATGCATTTAGTAAAACGCTGTTATTTTGACATTACAAACAGACACTTCAATTTTATTTATTTGTATGTATAGATAGATTACACTCAATGCGTTTATAAAGGAATTGCTTTAGATAACTTAAAGAGACTTCTGATAAAATTCATCAGCGTAACGTTATTTATTTGAAAGAAGAATTTTTAACACGTGTTTAGTATTAGTAGCCCATATAATCGTAATTTTAATTTTGCATCGATTCAGCCAAGAACAAGTCTGATATACACGTTGTAATCAAACATAAATTAGCTTAAAATTTATGGAGATATATTGAAAACGAATCCAAAATTATCCAAGAACACTAAACAAACTGACACACTCGTAAAACTCGAGTCAAAACTCAAAACAATCAATATTATCGGTCAAAATGACGTAAACGAAGAACGGATGGCAATAAATTGGCGAATAGAACAACAAACGTAAATCGCGTAGTGTAAATACAGGTGAGCGTCTGTTTATCGGATCGTGATCGTTACGGCGTTCATTGTATGGTGGGCGGCGAAAGTTTTGATTTGGAAGACTTTTTTTAAAGAAATTATGCTTGATTGTTGCAATATAAATAAAAAATTAAGATGTGTGTTCGTATGCAATTCACTCACGGTAGAAGTGAAACTTCTTTGGCAAATATTCAAATTTAATTAAAACGAATCAATAAATAAATAAGGCATATTAGGCATATTACAATCATATATTTAAAGAATATCATATACAACAAATAACAACGGTTACCATAGCAATAATTAGTTATAATAGCTTTTATTTAGTTTATGCACATTCACCCCACAGTAATACGAGTAAATATTAATTTTTAAAAGTAATAAGTTTAGTTTTTTTTAGCAAGTTTAAAAGTTATTTTACATTTTATTTAACATTTACTGCATAACATGTTATTCAGTATTATGTTTCACTGCTGTGTAATGTATTCTATCTCATTCTATCGCCGGCTTAATCCTATATATTTATGTGTCTGTCTCTTTCTAGTGTCGCATTTCCGTTTCATCGAGTTTTACATCACAATGATTCTAAAGAAGTTTCACTTTAACAATTGGAAATCGTTTTTTTATATACATAGATATCTATATAAAACTACCTGTTTTCAAAAATGTTTTATCAATAAAAGAAAATGTAAATAAAAATAATAAAGCAAAAAACTATTGAAAAACAGAGAAGAAAAAAACTGAACTGTTTTGCCTATTTATATAATAAATCATAGTAAATATTTGCATACAATATATGGCAATTACATAAGCGTGGCGAAACATTGAGTAGTATAATTATTTATCCTCACAGATAGGTGTAGCAGCGTTAAGAAACTACCTGCGACTCACATCGAAGTTCCTGTTTGACCTGTCCTGCCTCGTGAGAAAATTTCCCATCCAATAACAAACCTGTCTTAACAATCTCTAAATATAAATTATCGATGCCGCACCTTGCAAATAGAGTCACTCCGTATAGTCATTTCTTGATGGCCACGTTAGTACTTGTGAAACTGACTTTCGGAGAGGGGATCATGAAGGGAGATCGTGAAGATTGGAGAGTGAGATAAGAGATTAGTCAAAATTATGTATGCACTATATATATATTATTTGCTGTAAAAACCCTTAGGCCATGGAGTCGTGAGGAAACCTACATGTCTGAGAGAACCTAGCAAGTTTTCAAAAGACATGTGAAGTCCGCTAACCCGCACTTGGCCAGCGTGGTGGACTACGGCCTGATCCCCCTCGTACTGAAGGCCCGTGCCCAGCAGTGGGACGTTAGAAAAAAGGGCTGAATACACAGATGGAGTAGAAGTGCTAAACACTTCTTAAAAGACAACACCTCGTCTTACCGCCTTACTGGTGTGACAGAAGAGTGACAGAAGAGCTCGTTTTTCGCCCAAAAAATCGGCATTGCCATTCAGCGGAGAAATGCGGCTAGGCATTATTGCCGCTATTCCTAATTTCACGAGGACATCACTTGTACAGTAATAATTAAAGATACATTTGTTTTGTATATATAATTAAGTATATTTGTAATGTCCTTTATCTATACCTACATATAATAAAATTGTACCTAAGCCGAATCTGTACATTAAATATTTTTTGGAAAATCTTATTGAAATAAACATTATTATCGATACAGAGGCCGAATCTATAGTTTTTAGAATTTTTGTCTGTCTGTCTGTCTGTTGTGAAAAACCACTGGAGGGATTTTGATGAAATTTGGTATGATAATAGCTGGTTCGAATCCGGGTCAATATATAGGATAATTTTTACCGCGGGAAAATATCTTATTTCTGAGAAAAAATACAAAAACTGCATTGTAAGAGTATACTAATATGTAAAACCTAAGAATTTGGTTTTTGGTCCTCTGAACGCGGGCGGAGCCGCGGGCAATGCTAGTTGTAAATAAACCTGTATCTAGTGTTTATAACCGGATCTTTTTCTCTGTCATGAAACTACATATAAAAACTCTGGATTCTAATCCCACTAGCAATAACTTAATAGTGAGGATGTCACATCAATAGCAGTCATACAGAGCGTAGAACATTGAAAAGGAAATAGTCCCGTCTGACGCATTGCATTTTTCCATTTGCGTCAACACCACAATGCCCACAATGACACAAAGGATTCAATGATGGGTGATGCGGTGGAATAATTCGTATTTCAATACTATTAAATGGTTAATTTTGCTGAAATATCGCTTATTTATCGGTATATTTAAATAATATTATCGATGGAAGATATTGGTTTGATTTTATGAAAACGTCTAGAAAGAATTATTGATTTGAGAAGCTATTTCAAATTAGAATCATAAATTAAAATTAAAGTGATATAGGCTTGTCATTCTTCAGTGTGATGTCGATATTAACTGCTATTTGAAAGAACAGGTTTGATTCTCATACGAGGCAAACACTGCGACTGCTTATAAAAATACTTTAAGCGACACAATTCATAAATCATAAACTATTTTTTATCAATATATGAGCGAATGTTAGCTCTAAGGTTATCTAACAGTAAATGCTTTAACTACTATTAAACAGTACGCCTGTGGGATACATAGCATAAAGTGATTTTTTTACAAATTCTTTTTGCTATACCCCACGAGAAAAAGTATGTGAAAATTAACTAAGTTCTTTGAAAAGACTAGTTTTCTACCGCGTCTTCATCCACATATTTTATTCATGTACATACTAGCGACTCACCCTCGCTTCGCTCGGGTTCGTCCCTACCTTGGTTGGGCGCACAAACTTTCAACCCCATTTTCACCCCCTTATCAAACTTCATCTAAATCGGTGCAGTAGATCCAGAGATTACCCCCTACAACCTCACAAACTCACAAACTACTCTTTATAATATTATATTATATATTATATATTACTCGTATATTATATTAGTATAGATATAGAGGCGATAGATTGCCTATTTGCTTCTTTAATAAATAGGCTACAAAATACCAAATATTTTTTCGAATCTGACAACCAAAGCTATCTTCTTCTGGGTTTTATTATTACTATTTTATAAATATGGGCTCTTAGGTCTTAAGTTTTCATTTGTCGTATTTGTCATAACACTTAAAAAAGTTAAATTAACTATGTCAAATGCACATACAAGCATTTAAGAATAACATAGTGAAGTATTTACATCGACACTTACAAAGAATATATAGGAAGTAGTAATACAGTACATATTTAATTTGGACTTTAAATATATGAGAAATCATTTTTTTATCATGTCAATGTTATAATGATATTTTTTTGCAAGTTATCGATATCGAATATCTAGTGATGGTCGAGTAAAGTAAAAAATGTAGTGGTTTGACGACACGTTTGGCTCAGTGTGTAGTAACCCTACTTGCTGTGCCAGCGGTCGCGGGTTCGAGTCCCGCTGGGGGCATTCATTGTGTGATGAACACGAATGTTTGTACTCCAGTCATGGGTGTTTATATTTATAATATGTATGTATTTCAAGTTTATATATATGTAGTGTATCAACTATCTGGTATCCATAACAAAAGCCTCGTAGCTTACCATGGAACTAGATGGTGATGTATGTTAATGTCTCAACATATTTAAAAAGGAATAGTAATGCTGATTGATATTAAGCCAAATATCCACATAAATACTTAATAATTTTTTAATATATAATCTTATACGAAACGAGTGAAATAAGTTACAAATAAGTTCTTGTATTACATAATTTAATCGATATTCAACACACAACGAAATATTATCAAATTTCGTATAGTGTTAATTTAAACTAAAATCATACTTCAAAGCTTTACAATTAGATGCGAACAAATGGATCTTATCATTTCATAATACATTGGTTGAAATAATGAAATATTTATGTTTTTATGAGAAAATTCCATTACCTCATATCTATTTACCTCGACTATTTGTAGTGTGTTTTAAGAATACCTTTAACACGTTAACAGTCCGGTGTACCGTATGTGTTACACGGCGAGCGGTTCCGCCGAGCTCGTGTACCCTATTAGGTACACGAGCCCCGTGTTACTCTACGGATCCTAGGACCACGGACTTGTCAAAATAGTTAGTGTTTTCTTTGTGGACTTATAGCCAAGGGTCTAATAAGTAGAAAAAGTCAAAAACATAACTTATTTTTTTTAAATTGTTGCTATAACAACACAAAATAAAACAATTTAGTAGAAAATAAACAAAGTTTTATTGGTGAACTTGAACTTTAGAAAAACAATCAAAACAATATGCTTTTTTTTGCAAATTTTACATTGCATTTAAAGTTGATACCCTTGTGGATTTCGCCCGTGCGTATGGAGCAAGTCGTTCATCATGGATGTTTTGGTAGCCATCTGGGACTATATACATGGAAGACTGACCTGGAACACTTCTATGTTGCACTTTTCTAGAAATATTTTATACTGATTCCTCAATCTCTGGCCCGACTTCTTCCACTTCCCCATCTTCATCGTCTTCGTCGTCTTGGTCTCCTTTCTGATGAAATGATTCCACGATTCCGTCTTCATCATCAGAATCTTCAAGATTGTTCTTATATTTTTTTCTTCCTGTCCATTTCCCAAGTCACTTGGGAATTGTTCGTATATCTTCGTCTCTTATTGTTCTTTACATTCCAACATTTTACAAATATCCAGAAATAAATGAAAAACATTTTTACGTGAGTAAAAAATCGCGAACGTGAAGATTGGCACTAAATATTGTGGGCCTACCTTTTATTAATACAATAATTAGTATGATTGAGGGTAGGGCGATATTTTTCTGCCACAGTATGCATTATGTTGCCTAAATCATTGCCTATAATCAATAAACTAAATGTACATATGTCTACTGGCACTGTACACTCGTAAGTCCGTGTACCGCCCAGTGTACACGGGTATATCCGGGGTCAGCGACCTATACTTTATAATTTTTATGCGTCAGTAAATAAGTGGACATCGAATATTGGCTAAAAAATATATAAACACACATGGACATACAGCGTGTTTCGAAAAGCTTGTATGGGGGACTGTTAACGTGTTAAGAAGTAAAATAAAACAATCATGCTCATTTCTATAAAAATAAGTAAGACAAGTATTTCTAAATATTCAATGATTTGTAACATTTGAAATATTTTCCCGCAGTAAATAGTCTCCTATATGTTGACCGGGATAACCAGCTATCACCATATCAAATATCATCAAAATCGGTCCAGCGGTTTTCTCGTGATGCGTTCGTTCTCATACAAACAATTGGACACAGACAGACATACAGATAGACTGAGAGACAGAGAGACAAAAGTCCTATTAACGATAGATTCGTATTCATTATTCTTCTGTATCGATAATAATGATTATTTCAATAAAAATTTTCAAAAAATTTTGAATGTAGTACAGATTTGACTCAGAATTTTAATATATATGTACATATAAATGTATACAAGAGTAAAAGAGTTATTTGTTTAAGATATTACATACTTCGTTTTGTTGCAAACAAATGAATATGAAAAAACATAACGCCTAAAGTTCTAGTTAGTTTATTATAATTTCTAACAAAAATCTTTTAAACAATAATAGTATTTTCACCCAACTTTTTTCGATGAAATCATCGATTAAAGAAATCGTGCGAAAATAAAACCCATAAAGCAATGTTTTTACCCTAAAGAAAAGAGATTGAATCGAATCGGAGGTGAAGAGAAAAATGTGCTATCCCGAAAAATCCTTGAAATTAGTCCCAAACAAGGGGGAAAAGGCGAAAGACGACGGATAACAGTTACACATTTTCGTCGCGAGGCTAACGATTCAAGCTAGCTGTCCCATAAATCTAGTTCTGCCTGATTGATACATGGCGGTCGGTGACGCCCATCCCGTAATTTACTGCGAAGTACGCCCACCAAGCATCGAGATAGCAAGACTTTTGTTTTGCATTAATTCCTTTTTCTTTGCCTTCAGGAAAATACTGTACATGGCGTTTAAAAGTATTAGTGCTTATGTAAGACTTGCTCTGATTTTGGGAATCGTTTTCTTGTTTAATTTATTATGGTGCAACGGTGAGTTTTATGTTATGGGTCGTAGGATCGATTTAGATTGGTTATGCAGATATGAGTTACTATCACCTACCGTAATACATTGAATTTGTTCAAAGATGAAATAGGGAATTGGTATCCTGAGTTTCTGTTTTCGATTACCTAGATTCTAGATAGATTCTAGAATATTATAATCTTAAAAAATGCTTGATATTATGAATACTTAGTAATATTAATTGTCTTTCGATGTTTAAAATTTGTGGGTATGTAAAGCTTCGCTAAAATAAATAATAGTACATTTTTTTGCTTATGAATCTGTACAAATTAATTACAACATATCGCGGTGTAAGAGTCAAATGAACGTATATACATTTTCTCAATTTTACAGGAGAGCAAAAATACTGGGTAAAATCGCCACTTCAAACTTTACCAGCTTTTTATTAGTGATAATATAGAATTAACGAAACAAAAAAATATGTTGATATATTGGCATACTATTAGAGCTCAGAAATAGTAAAGATTTATTTATTTGTACAGCCTTACATTGACACAATATTTATTTTTTTGAAATTCGGTTGACATACGTTAGTGTGGCCCTTACCTTTTTTTTTATTTTATAAAAATGCTTGTGTCAATAAAACGTAAATAGATAAACGTTGTTTTGGCTCTTCAAATTCAGAATAAAAACACAATCTTGTAACACCCAGAACAACGTATAAGCTTTTACGTTGATATGGTTCGTGTATTATATTATGAACGAAACAATATTCTACGATTAAAAATATTGTTTTTACAATTACGTTCCTATAGCCCTAACTGGTAATAAGATTATAAAAACTAATTTAGCGGTACTCATAATACGTTTTTCTGGTTCTATTGAAAGTGGTTCTTATACTATTTCGTTTTTTAGGAATTTGTGAACTATTTATTGACTTTACTGTTACGTCGTTTTGGCATTTCGTAAAGGACAACATAGTGACTCGTTTTATGAAAAAAAACGAAGTTTGATTTTTTTGTAGATACGTTCATCTGGTTCTTATACCCCGATATACATACACTTGTTCTTAGATTTTTAGGGCTCTAATCGGTTAAGGGTTGTAATACAACAACCATTTTATATTATTTACTCGTAACAGTAAGTACTCAATTTTTGTTCTGTTTTGATTTCTTATTATGCTTTAAAAGATATGGTAATTTACAATGGAACAGGTAGTCTAGCAGTTTAAAATTATTTTTTTTAATGTGCATCATGGTGTTTCATGGTAATCAATTGTATTTTAATAGTACGAGTATATCAAAAATGCCAAGATGTGTTTATCAAAAATTCTACCAGTAGTTCAAAATAATAAATCAGTCCTGAGCAGAGTTGCGGAAGGAAGTGAGACTACTTATAGATCTTATACACCTTTTTTTTACTTTGAATTGTAAAAATGACAAATTTTATCCAACATTGAAATTATCTGGAGGCGATCACCTCATTAGGAATACGTTTCTATGAATAATTTGCTTCACTTCTAAATATTACGTATACGAACGCTTTTCGAACGATTTTTGGGATCCTAATGTAAAAATTTATATGTACATTGTTTTTAAAAAGAATCACTGACTCACTTCAACCACGTCAAATTTATTACAAATAAATTTATTATTGGGTCTGGTAGCATTCTGCATAATGTTATACATATTATATGCCCTCGATTCTTGGGAAAAGTTATAATAATTTTTCAAAAATAATCGTGCATAAATTGTTTGTATACGTAATATTAAGAAACTTCAGTCAATACCTTAATTTACGTCAAATCTTAAACACTAAGATCTAGGTTAAAAACTACAATAACGGACAAGCCGACGGGATTACCTTAGTAATACAGTTTCTACTAAGCTTTATATACGAAACCCATTAGCAACTCTCTTTTTGACGACATTTTCAGCTACTTACCTATCCTACTTGCTGTGTTAGCGGTCTCAGGTTCGAGTACCGCTAGGGGCATTCTTTTGTTTGATGAGCACGACTCTTTGTACTCCAGTCATGGGTGTTTATATTTATAATATTATGTATGTATTTAAAGTTATATATGTGTAGTGTATCAACTATCCGGTATTCATAACAGAAGTTTCGTAGCTACCATGAAACTAGATAGTGCTGTGTTAATGTCCCAACATATTTATTTATTTATTTACCTTTACAACAAACAAAATTTTCATATAAACTTCTAATTTACTCACAACAATCATAAAAAAATACAGCGACACATCAACAATATTAGTGTAACGAAACAAAAGCCTCCTGTAAAGTCAACAGTGGTAATAGACAAGTATCTTTTCCGTGCAAATAAAAGCTACTAATTTCAGAACAGTCACACTATACGACACAGGGCCCTGAATAAAGGCTTTCTTAAAAGCTAATCTAAGACAAAAGCGTTATTACTAACTGCCCCCGGGTGTGGGACGAGTGTTCGCTTTGTTTATTTTAATTTTTTCGCATGGCGGACGCCGTCTAGAGTCTAACTAGCGCTAAGGAACGGTATACAGGCTGTTCTTTTTGGGATTGATATTATATTATTAATTTGTTATTGGGAATGATATGGAGTACGAAAATCGTTAAATCTGGTATATATGTTGCAGTGTATATATATTTTTTTAATAATCCTTGCTTGATGATATCAGAATTTTATTCTATGCAACAATCATCAAAATATAATTAAATTATAAATTATTATTATGTATGAATTTAATTCTAACAAAAATAATAAAATCTACTATTTTAATGAAAACTTTCATCCCCATTTTCACCTCCCTTAAGGAATGATTTCCGGGATAAAAAGTATTCAATATCCTTCCTAGGGTCTCAAACTATCTTCGTACCAAATTTCATCTAAATCGGTTCAGTAGATCCAGAGATTACCTCCTACAACGTCACAAACTCACAATCTCACAAACTTTTCCTCTTCATAATATTAGTATAGATGGAACATAGGAACTTGCCTGAGCAAAACCAGGGTAAGTTGCTAGTAAGCAATAAATGCATACATTATCAAAATCAAACACTCTATATACAAGTTTGATACAAAACAGTGATATGCAGTTCATTTTCAGCTTTGGCGGGAATTATCAGCGATGCGTGATGGTTACTGCCTTCCGCTTTGTATAGTGCTCTCGTTGAACAATGGTACTATAGTATATAGTATTTAAAAGAAAGAAACTGAAGGAGACTGTAATTAGCCCGATTTCAAAGTTTGAGATGGTCTTGTGTCTTTTTTTAATGACCACCGTCCATGGAAATGTACTTGCGAGTTTATTTTAACTTTGGGTGTATTGTAGATGAAAAAAAGGAGAGTATAGAGTCAGGTAGAGTTTATAAAGAACATAACAACAAAGAATCGAAATGTGTAATTAGTGTGGTTTTTGATTAGTATTCAGTCTACGAATATAGTTGTATAAAATAATAGTATGTATAATAGAGTTTATAAGATATTGTATATTACTTTCAGTAATTGTATTGTATGTATATAATTTTATTGTAATTAAATTAATTTGATTTCTAAGTAGATTAATTTGGTAAGCTTTTTTGATCTTTACTATTATTTTGCTGTATATTGTAAATTTTAGTGTTAATGGTCCTGTTTTCTAATAAATACCTATGGATCTGTATTAAGTTTGTATATTTCTGTTGTATGGTTTGATATTAGTTGTTTGTCCTGATTGTTCATAATTGACCATAGCAAAGAAAATAATTTTTTTTCAGACTTCTTAACTATAATGGCATAGGTAAGAAATCAGTTAAGAAGTTTTTAAAAGCAACCCTTAGAAGGGTAAGGGTTGATACCCCATCAAATATTATATTAATTAATAAATCGTTTTTCTTGTGTCACATTAAAAAAGGAACCCAGTGAAGCCAACGCAGGCTACTTTTATCTATGTATAACAAAAAATATTGGCTTTATAATATTTAAATCGCTTTTTCAGAGAAAATTCTCAATTGGGGCGTAGGTTTTTCCTCTATGTACATGTATCGATATTTCTGTATGTATAGATAATCTTAATACATTATAACTTAAGGGTAGTTCCATATAAGTTTCAAGAAAGCCTCCATCCCTTAGGGTAAACTATAATGAATTCACTACCCTTAAATTTACTTGTATATATTTTCTATAACTATACTTAAAAATATATTTTATAATAAATAATACAAAATAGTGGAACTATCAAAACTGTAGCACTATACAGCAAAAGTTGACAAAAATGTGATGACATTTCGCCGCCGGGAGCGCGTACAGGGATGAACTACTCATCACGTTCAACAATGGGTCTCATACGTCCCATGTAGGGTTAATTTGACCATATCCCCGCTTCATTAGTATAAGTTCTGAATACTGTTTCATATTTTGTTTGGATACTTATTAATATGTATGTTTGTTTGTCTATGGTTAGGCAAAAATTAATTTAAGGTAATAGTGAATTTGTGAAATAGTAGCTTTTGTAGATTTTGAATTTCATATGTTGTTAAAAAATATAAGATATTTGCCTTTAAACTTAAAATATTAAAACAATGTAAAAAATATACATTAATGATTAATAACTAAATTTTAGATGTGGTATAAAAAATAACATGAAGCACGACATGTGTTATATATTATTATTAAAACATACTAAAAAAGCGGGTAAACATGACCTATAACATCCCATATGGAAGTCTGCTAAAACTATGAGCATTTAGTCAAATTCAAGATATAACTATCAGATTTTGAATACTTTATATATAATTTTATGTATATATGTTTTAAAATAATTTAAAAAATCTCATAGATCGAAAATATTTTCTAAATAAAAAGGGAATACCAAATCAAAGCTTATCGAATCCAGACTTTATCAGTCCCCACTTAAACATACATTCAACTTACGAAGCCTTTCGGCAAATTCATCTCAAAGGCTATCAAAACGCAAATATCTCACGTAGCTAGGTGTCTCCGTGAATGCACACATCTGGACTTCTACTAATATTTCAAGCGCGACCAACACTCGGCTTTCGCATCTTTACCATGTTATATTTACAGCTGGTTTAAAACAACATATATTTTATTTCAATGACTTTAAGATCTATATTTGTTTAATTTATTTCTATATGGGAGTAGTTGTAAATTGGGAGGTCAGTGTAAAGATAGCGTTTACGAAGCTAGCTGTGGTCGCGGCGAGGTTGAAATATGCAGAGGTGGTATCGAATGCGACCCTTACAAAGAGCGTTTCGGTAAGACAGTCCGTATGGAGACGCTTTAGGCAGCAGGTGTGTGAACGTGTCCACTACACGAAAATGGTAAAATTATTGAAAATTCAATAATTACACAAAAAAGTATAGGTGCATTTAAATTAAAATTCTCTGAAATCCTAGTTTCGTTGATTTATTTTAAAATAAATCAAAATTTCAATATTATTAATACAATACATAGATACCCATGGTGGGAGAGATTTCCACAGCCAACAGAACAGACACGAAATTTTGTATACGACTCAATTGAATAGTTGGCATTATTAGTGCACCTACACCATGACTTGTAAACACCATGAATTTTAAACTAAAAAAATAGATAAATAAACGAGTAGTAAGAAAACATTTTTAAAAAGCTTTTATTTTAATTAAATTAAAAGAAAAAAACATAAGTTTTTAAAAATGTTTTACTACCTATTATTAATTATTGTGCTTATTGTATTTCATATATTCATTATTTATTATATCTAGTACATAATATTTCATTTACGTACGTACATATTAACATTTGCTGTTTGAAAAGATTTCTCAAAATCTGTACGGTGTATGTGAGTATTTTGTGCAATTATCATAATTTAAATAATTTCGCATTCAAAGTATTATATTATTATTATTTTTTTATGGGACTAAGGGGGCAAACAGGTGGCTCACCTGAAGAAGTGATCACCGCCGCCCATGGACATCTGCAACACCGCAGGGCTTGCAGATGCGTTGCTGGCCTTTAAGGAATGAATACGCTCTCTTCTTGAAAGTGGCCAGGTCGTAGCGGTTCGGAAAAACCGCCAGCGATAGCTGGTTCCACAGAGTGGTTGTGCGGGGCAGAAAATGCCTTTCAGAAAAAGTCTAATCTACATATATTATTGGACTAATAATTTGAAATAGTAATATAAAAATACCATGAAACCTTGATAATATAACATTTAAAGCCCTAATTGTATAGAGGTGACGTCGCCATACATAGATATATTGGAAAAACATTACCCTCAATTTGAGATAGTCGGATAAATGACATAAATGACATAAAATCTTCTTTTTCTTTTATCCAAATATGATGCATATTTATAATATAAATAGTTGTAAATTCAATTGTGAAAGCGGAACGTCTGTCACCTAAAATACAGGCTCTGGCTTAGTTTAGGAGATAGTAGTTCAACTTATTTTTTGACCCTTTTTGTACAACTTGCTTTACTTACTTTAACCCCTTATATTGTCACTTTATATAGTACAATAAATAAATCTATAGTTGACATTATTTACGAAAACATTATAAGATCGGAAGTCAATGGATACGAGCTTTTCAGTTTTCAAAAGCCATCCTCTGGGAGGAGGTGTTCTCACAAAGTGACCGCTATTAAACATGCATAGCTTAAGCAGCGTTTTACTCTGAATTACGAAGATTATTCAAAATTATTTGATACTTATTACACGTTAGCAGGATTTCTATTGAGATAATATATGCTGTTGACTTCATATAGACATTATATCTATATATATAATAATTGTAACCAAGTTGAATCTGTACATTAGATATTTTTTGGAAAATATTATTGAATTTAACATTATTATCGATACATTGGCCGAATCTATAGTTTATAGACTTTTTATCTGTCTGTCTGTTACCGCATCACAGAAAAACCACTAGACGGATTTTGATCAAATTTTGTATGGTAATAGCTAGTTATCCGGGTCAACATATAGGATACTTTTTACCCCAGGAAAATATCTAAT